TTATACTGAATGAGGCAATAATTTTGCCTAAGACAACCAAAATGAACTACACAAGAAGTCTGGCAAAATGTCTTATATCTTGAATAATGTATTCTGAATTTGGATAATGATTTTCAATCCTGATGTGAGAGTACAGTACAGTAATAGGAGATTCAATGAATTTATCAGTTTTGGAAAAGATGACACATTCCAGCTACTCTAGAAACATGGACTTTTCTCTGTTCCTCCCCTTTGTCAGGCTCAATGAAAATATGCTTATGGCTTATAGAAGGCAAGGCTAAGAATACATTTCAAGGGCTGGGGATTTAGCTCAGTGGTTCCACTGCTACCTTGCAAGTGAAAGTTCCCGTGTTTGATCCCCAGTACCAAAGGGGGGAAAAACACTTCAAATAAAAGCAAAGCAAAACATAATGACATGATTCTCTACATACAAGACCCCAAAAAACTCTGCTAAAAAATCTTCTAGACTTAATTGACAGATTCAGTAGAGTAGATGGATACAAGGTACACACTCAAAAATCAACAGCCTTTTTGTACACAAATAACAGACTGAGAAATTGGGGAAACACTTCTTTTAACAATAGTATCCAAAAAAATGAAATATCTAGGAATCAATATAACGAAGGAAATAAAAGACCTTGAAAACTACAGCACTCTTAAAAAAAAATTGAAGAGGATATAAGAAAATGGAAGACATCTCTTGCTCCTGGGTAGGAAGAACCAATATAGTAAAAATGTCCATACTTCCAAAACTGCAATTGTGATTGAAATCCCAATAGTATATTTCACAGAACTAGATAAAAAATAAAAAAAATTAACCAGGAGAGATCTAGAATATCAAAAGCAATTCTAGTCAACAAAGACATGACAGGGGGTATCACAATCCCCAACATGAAACTATACTACAAAGCTATCAAGATAAAAACAGCATGGTACTGACAAAGAAATAGACCCAAGGATCAGTGAATACATTAGAAGATTCAGACACAACTGCAGACATTCTCAGCCACCTTATCTTTGACAAAGGAGCCAACCACCCTCACTAAAGGAAAGATAAGTCTCTTTAGGAAATGGTGCTTGAAAAACTGGATTTCAACCTGCCACAGATTAAAATTAGTCCCATATCTTCCACCATGCACTAAACTAAAATCAAAGTGGATCAAAGATCTAAATATTAAAACCAAAACACTAAACTTTCTAGAAGATAGGTTAGGTAGAACTCTTGAAGATATTGGTATAGGAAACTACTTTATGAACAAAACCTCAGTTGCACTGGAACTAGCACAGAGAATCAACAACTGGGATCTCTTCCTATTAAAAAGCTTTTACACTGCAAGAGAAAACAATAGGGCTAAGAGACTACCTACAATGTGGGAAAAATTTTTTACTAGCTGTTCTTCAGACAAAGAACTACTATCTAGAATATATAAAGAATTTTTAAAAGTCAGACCCCCCAAATTTAAAGACCCAATTAAAAAATTAACATCTGAAATGAATAGATATTTCTCAGACAAAGAAGTAAAAGCAGCAAATAAACATTATGAAAAAATGTTCAACATCATTGGTCATTTGAAAAATGTGGATGAAAACTACACTGAAATTCCACCTCACTCCAGAAAGAATGGGTGATATCAATAAATCAACCAATAACAAATGCTGGCAGGATTGTGGGGAGAAAGGAACCCTTTCCCATTTGGTGTGGGAGTGCAGACTGGTGTAACCCCTCTGGTGACCAATATCAAGACACTTTAAAAAAACAAAAAACCAAAAAACCAAAAACTAGGATTAGAGGTCCCATTTGACCCAGCCATTCCCCTGCTAGGTATCTTCCCAAAGAATGAAAAGAATCATATCACAGTGATATATAAGCACCCATGTTTATAGCAGCACAGTTCGCAATACCTAAAATGTGGAAACAGCGCAATTGCCCATCAACTGAAGATTGCATAAAGATGTGGGTTTTTAAAAAATAAAATGGAGTACTCTTCAGCCATAAAGAATGAGAAACTAGAGATATTTATAGCTAAATGGATACACCTTGAGGCCATTCTCTAACGTGAAATAAATAGGATATACATGTGTAAATATTGAATAGTTTCTCTGGTGTGAGAAACTGAAAGTGTAAATAAGAATCAAAATGGGGCCAGCATTTAGCTCAGTGGTGCTGCTGCTGAGTTTGATCCCCAGTACCAAAAAAAAAAAAAAAAAAAAAAAAAAAAAAAAAAAAAAAGTATGGTAGATAATGTGAAACAGGAAGAAAAGGTCTAAAGGGGAAGAGGAAGTGGGAGAAGTAGGTGAAAAGAAAAGAAGGGAGAGGAAAAAATATGTGAAAAGCAAAAATGGAAACAAACTATTTGTAAACAGGGAGAGGTGGTGGGAGAGAAGGGGAATGGGGAAAAAATAAGAACCAAGATGTATCATGCAAAGGTACAAATTCCCAGTGATGAGTGTCATCATACTGTATACCTAAAATGTACCACTAAACTTAAGGGGAAAAAAGCAAAGCAAAACAAAACGAAAAACTTCAGGGGCTGGGGATTTAGCTCAGCGGTGCCACTGCCTGCCTTGCAAGCACAAGGACCCAAGTTCAATCCCCAGTACCAAAAATAAAAAACAAAACAAAATTTCAAATCCCACTGGAAATGCAAAGTAGGCAAGAGCCACAATGAAGAAAAAGTATTTTTTCTACAAGCTGGTCTTAGAAGTGAGTAACAAAGCAATTTGATTTTGTTAATGATTATCAAGTTTCTCAGATTAATTCAGGTATTTAACATGCACAAAATATACTTACAGCTATATAAAATAGTAAATTACACAAATCTTTTCAAATACAGTTGAAGATAATACAGTACCTGGAGTAAATTATCAAACATTATCAAAATAGTGTTTTGTTTCATGTTGCCTGGCAGTGTATATAATATTGATAGAATGAAACATCCTCAATTTTCTAAACTCAGAGGCTTTTAATGATTACCCAGTTGAATTAACATCTATCTCACTATTGCTATAATTTGGATCTAAAATGTCCCTGAAAAGACCATGTGTTAAAAACTTGGTCGCTAGCCTGTGGCACTATAACAGGTGGTGGAACTTTTAGAAGATGGATCTACGGGGTTGACCCCTTGAATAGGATATGGGGACCCTGACCCTTCCTCTCTCTCTGCTTCCCAACCACCATGAAGTAAACAGGCCTCCTCTGTGACCCTGCTCCCATGGCAATGCAGTAAGCTATCACAGGTTCAAACAATAGGGCTAAGAGACCAGGAATTGAACTCTCGGAGATTACAAGACAAAATAAAGCAATCTTTCTCTTAAGTTGTTTATGTCAGGCATTTGCCATGATAGGGCAAAAGTGACTAGCCCAATTACCATGTTCTGGCTTTTAACTCTGTAAAGTAGTTACTTTGTCAGGAATGTTGGGCCCATGACAAACTTCAGAATTTAAAACTAGAGGAGCTGAGAAATATTAATAACAATTCACTGAGATAGTCTCAAATTCTCATTTATTATGTATATATATCCTCTTCTGAAAGATATTAGGAGAATCATGCACCTAGAAAATGCCTTGTACAGCCTCGCAAGTGCTAGGTCCCAAGTTCAATCCCCGGTAACAAAAAAAGAAAAGAAAATGCCTTGTACTTCCAGAGCAGATTCTTGGAAGTACATATTAAGTAAATGGAATTAATTAAATAGGATGAAACTAGATTGTGAAAAAAGTCCAATAAGGGCTTATGAAATATAAAGCCCATTGAAGAGCTCTTATCAAATACAGTCTTTTACATAGCAATATAATACCTCATTATAATTGCTTTCAAAGTGTCATTTTTAAAGAAATGGATTTTCACATTCACCTTTTAGAATGTATAATTACTGGCATTCATTTTTCAGTTTAGTATTGGTTTAGTGTAAGCTATATGATCTTTAAAGTAGCTTTGCATAATTCTTTATGTACATTGGGCACTTATGTAATAGAGACAAACCTATGCCAGAAAACTGACCCCAGAAAATTACATTCTGAAGTTCTGGAAGAGTTTTGTAATGACCTAAGAAACAGTTATTACAGGAATAGAGGGACTAGTCCCATTTGACAGATATGATGAACTAATTCCCATTTAATATTTTGCTTTTTTTGGAAACCCTTCAATAATTCATCCTTACCTGGCAAGGAAAAAAACTTTCTAATCTTTAGTTTCTTTATGTATTCAAAACCAGTCCTATCCATCTCAGAGGGTCATTTTCAAGGTCAAGTGAGAGTTTTTTTTCAGTACCAGGGATCGAACTCCAGTCCTTGAGCTTGCAAGGCAGGTGGCAGAACCACTGAGCTAAATCCCCAGCCCAAGGAAGTATATTAAAACAGTGTATAACATGTATTGGACACATCATTATTTTCAGACTGAAGATAATTAACTGACAAAGATTAGGAATTAGATGAAAATTCCTGAATTTAAAATCTGGCTTCTATCATGTAATACAGTTATATGAACTGGAGCCAATTATTCCAGTTAAATATGGATAATGACACACATACCTTACACTGTTCTTTTAAGGATTAGAGATGATGTATGTCAAGTTCTGTATTAATGCCATGTCTGCATGCTGCATTAATCACTTATATTTTATTATTATAACAGAACAGAAATTTCTCATGAGATTATACTACACATCGGTTCTATACAACCATCAACAATGACAAAGACTAGCACAATCATGGTCTCATGCTTCTGACTTCCAATGTGTCTTTTCTTTTAAAACGAAGCCCAAATGAAGATCACATGAAGGCAAAGGATACACAGAAAAGCTGGTATTAAAATGTGTTCATAATACAGGACTGAAAGAAAAATTATTTTGAAAAATGAGACCTACACACACACACAACCATATATATAAAACAATTTTTAATCCAAAGCGAAAAGATTATCACTAGAAATGAAGTTTGTAGTTTTGCAAATGAAACAGTTAACACTTTTAAAACTAAAGACTGTTTAAACAAATACACTTACATTTTTGAATAGTTGTTCAGCAAGTTCTCTGACATGCTTTATCATCTTCAATGGGTTATTTTCTTCAACTTTAATTCTCTCTACTTCAAAAGCTACCAACTTAGAAAAAGAATCAAATGGTAAAATATCAACATCAAAGCATGCTGAATTTAAAAATTATAATTCCATACAATTTGCACACCCAAACCATCGAAAATAAATAGTATTTTAAGAGAAAATATTTTAAATTTTTACTGAGTTTCACCTCTATTCTAGGATAAGGCCTAATGAATCCTTGTATTCTTGCTGTTCCCTCCTCAGTGATTTACAGATCTATTTCTGGAACTCAGAAATTTCCAAGGGCCTCACTCAGAGAATTTTCTTACTCAGAGAAATTCAGAAAATCTCCAAATAGTTCCTTAAACTCACAAAACATGAACCAAATGTTCACGTCAGATTACTCAGACTCCAGACCTAGTTCTGTTGACAATGTGATCTGGGACAAGTTACTTAAACTCCTGGGCTTCAGTTTCTTATATCTAAAATAAGATGGAAGAACAAAATGACATTTAGGCTCCTTTTATTTTTCTCTTTCCATATGTATATACATGTACATATACACAAATACATATATACATACATGTACATTCATTCCCTATTTATCAGTGATTATTAGGAGAACTATGTGAGTTTGTATACTTAGGACAGAGAAAACAGTGCTGACAGGAAAAACTGGAGCATCAACACAGGAAAGATGAAAAAAAAAGGAACAATAAAGATTCTTCTTTCTAGGAATTAATATATTCACTGGAACCAAGACATATAAAACCATGGCTTTACCTATTTTAGGCCAGGGTTCAGAGAGATTACCATTCAAAGGGAAACTTTGTCTTCATTCTTAGGTGCCTATTTGATGAGTGCATGAGGATAAAAAAAAAACATAATGCAAGCTGCTGCTCAGCACCCCACAAGACCCCATGTGGTAGGCTGCCCTGAATAAGTGGCCCTTTCCCAGGAATAAATGAAACTTTACTATAAAAGCGTATTTCCACATAAAAAGCTAAATTAATTAGAAATTAGAAATTACTTAGAAATTAGAAATTAATTAGTAATTAGAAATTACTTAGATCTGATGCCCTAAACCTAGTACATACACATGACTAACTGGCTTTCTAGCAACGGCATAGTAAAACACAAAATGTCACCAGTGCATGTGGAACACAGAACTAGATAAACACCAAAGGTAGATCTCATCTGAATCTTAGAGCCCTCGCTTTATCATTGTTTCTAAGCTAGAGGACATACACATGTATAAATATATAATAAAAAATAGACTGTCCATAAAGTTAGAGACATAAAATGAAGTTTATTGCAATCAAATAGCTCTCAAAGTTGACTACTTTTAGAACAGTGTTTCTTATAGACTTCAAGGAACTTTTAAATTTACTGGTTCCAATACAATGCTCACTCCACAAAGAGAAATAATATTCACTGTTTTATCTCCCAAAATGCACTGCTGTAAACACAAAGTTAAATGATACATGCAAAGATGCTTTAAAAAAAAAATAAATGTAAGAAAGCATCCTTAGCCAGGTGTGGCTGCACATGTCTGTAATCCCACCACTTGAGAGGCTGAGGCACGAGGCTCACTGTGAGTTTGAGACCAGCCTGGGCTACACAGTGAGTTCCAGGGCAGTCTGAACTACATAGTGAGACCCTGTCTCAAAAAAAGAAATAAAAAAGAAAGCATCCTTATTGTGAGTCACAGTGGCTTTACATCTCCCTTTTTATGGCCAATTCCTTGATGAAAGAAACTAAATCTGTTTTCCACACATTTCATATTTCCTATGGGAACTAGACAAATGTTGATTATTGGTTAGTAAGAATGCCATAAAAGTTAAACTTTGACTCTATGATACTGATGGATTTGAAGTCACATATCTATGTATCAAAATTAGACTTTTCTTCCTAGCAGATTAATAAAAGAATCATTGTATTACTACCTTAAAAATGAGTTCAATTTAAATTGTCTGTATATTTTTAAATATTTTAATCAATTATTTAAAATTCAATGCTTAAAAATTTTATATGCTTCTGAGCCATCCTATAATTATATTTTATTAGCATAATAACAAATATTTGGATTATCTATACTTAATTTATTAGATTTTAGGTAAATATTAAAATAATGCCTCTACTTTTAATTACTATTCTAATTACACCTGTAAATAATGCATTTATTTTATAAGAACTATACCTCATCAAAGAGATCACAGGTTCTATAGGGAGGACCTCTTTCAGAAACAAAACCTGCAAATGCCATTCCATTGAGTACTTTAGTGAGGAAATCATTCTCAATCAAACCACGCTGCCCCAAGAAAGCTGTCTGCAAAGAAAGAAATGTGAAATGACAATTTATTATTTATAATTTTGGTAATGGGCAAATGGTCAAAACAAAAATATAACAGATATATGAATAAGTGCCTTTATGTACATTATTGTTATCAAGTATATTTTTCTCAAAAGGTTTTTTTTCTGATATCCTGGAATAGTACATTTATTAGAAATAAAACTGAATTTGTCTATATAGTAGGAAGAAAAAAATCATAAATTAACACTCAACTTTAAGAGAAAAACCAATTTTATTAAAGTTAAAACAAACTAAAGGAAAATATTGTCAATTGCATAGAATTCTTAAAAACTGATTAGGTATGGTGGTACCTGACTGTAAATCTGGCTACTTGGAAGGTTGAGGCAGAAGTTTAAGACAAGCCTGGGTAATTTAATGAGACTCAGTCTCAAAAATATAATAATAAAAAATAACGAAAAATGGATCTAGGAGTCAGGTGTGGTGGCACACGCCTGTAATCCCAGCACTCGGGAGAATGAGGCAGGAGGATCGCTCTGAGTTTGAGACCAGCCTGGGTTACATAGTTCCAGGTCAGCCTCAACTACATAGTGAGACCCTGTCTCAAAACACCAAAAAAAAAAAAAAAAAAAAAAAAAGGATCTAGGGCTGGAGATCTAGCTCAGTGGCACCATGCCTGCCTGGCAAGCACAAGGCCCTGAGTTTGATTCCCGGCACCAGGAAAAAAAATAAATAAATAAAATAAAGTGGAGCTAAAGGTGTTTCTCAATGATAGAATATCCAATACCACAAAAACAAAATAATAACCAAACCTATCATCTACAACCACACAAAAATTAAGGTTGAAATATATAGCTTGAAAAAGACAATGCAGTAGTTTTATTAAATTAGACTCCACTTTTTGGATGGATAAAATATAGAAGTGTATCTTACTTTGTGAAAATGTATTACTGGCTCTGCATGAATTCTTATAAGTTGTAGGCATGATCTATATCCTTGGAAAAGTTGTGCAAACAATCTAAGGAAAACTGCTCGGACTTCTTTATCCTGAAATATAAGAAAAAACACATTTGCTAATTTGATTTCTTAAAAATGAACTATCAAGTTAAAAGATGCAGGGGCCCTGGAAAGACATTCTGCTTACTACATGTCTGTCTCATTTGTGGTATCCCTAAGTGGTGGGCTTCTAGTCCATTTTACTGTTGAACAGCTTAGGCTGCTAAATAGCACTTCATGCTGAACCAAATAAAATTTGTTTCTAGTACATCCAGTTTTCTTCTGGGGAAAAAATAAGTAACTTACTTTCTCTTCTTTTATCATGTTTCAAAAGGGTATATATCCCAAATCCGTTGATTTTTAATCCACCAAAAGAATTAAAGTAATAGAAGAAAAATACTTTAAAAGAGATCTTAAAAGCTTATAAAATTCTTTCAAAGTTTATCTGACTTATTAAAAAAATCTATTCTTATTTTAATAAGGGCATGATTTAAAACTTTTTCACAATTCCAGTTTTAATAAATCACAGTTTCAAAACTGTAAGGAAAATTACAGATTTATTTAGTCAAACCCTTAATGACAAGGAAATGCAGCTCAAGAATACTTAAGTTAGTTGTCATAGGTGTTCAGTGTTACGAGGATCCCACTGGTCAAATATTTTGTCTCTAAGAAATGCACTGGGAAAAAAAGGGGGCCTCTGTTATACAATCACCTTTTTTTGTCCACTCTTCAAACTTGATTATCTCCAATAGTCAACATTCATCATTTCCATTTTTGCAAGATTCCTCCTTTAAATTCCCTGCCCAGCAAGGACTTGACACATGGCAGTTTTCAAGACATTAGATTTCTTCCTATACTTAACTCCTGCCTCCGCAGGCAACAGTCATAGCACTATTCCTCCTGGCCAGGGCCTCTTTGAGCACACCTAGCTAAGGAGAATCAAGGACAATTCTACTTTCTTATTTGGGGCACTTTTTACTATGCTGTCCATCTAAGCCTAACCTCACTCAACTTCTTTAACAACCCCACAAATAAAAGCATAGTCTTTAAAAATATCAAATTTAAATATCAAACTTCTTACCAGCATTTTTGAGTGAGATAAAGCTGTTCGTGGAGGAGGAAAAGCATGATCTGCTACTTCCAAATCTGGGTGTAAAATCTAAAACAAAGAAGTTTTTCATGAAAGATATCCCAAAAGCAATAAACCCCACTCTTTAATCTGTTTGGGCCATAACATTGAAATGTTAGTAAATAAAATGTCATATTTTTCTCCATGAAATATAATTTAGTTAGGTAAGGTAACTGTGTACACTATTATGGAAAGATCTCCAAGACAAGGTATTTTGTGAAAAAACATGTCATAGGAAAATCCAAAATAAACCCCCAAACACACACACACACTGATATTCTTGAGAATGGAAAGCTCTCAAAAAATATATGCTAACTTACAAAACAGTAGTGACTATTGAGAAAGGATTGGCCTAGGGCAGACTTACATGTCCAAGCAGTTGACTTTTTAAAAAAACAGATATGGGTATTTGCTTTTATGTTTCTTAGAATAATTAATACTATTGAGAAAGGATTGGCCTAGGGCAGACTTACATGTCCAAGCAGTTGACTTTTTAAAAAAAACAGATATGGGTATTTGCTTTTATGTTTCTTAGAATAATTAAAAACTAATAAGATACTGAGGAGAAAGGAGTAAGTTTTGAATTGTGCATCCAGAAGGGGAAAAGTACAATACAATGTGATGATGATTACTATAAATATATAATATATGAAATATATTAATGTTGGTACTTAATTCATTAATAATTATTAATATCCCTATTAATTAATCATAAAAGATTTAATCACTGTAAGATTTCTAGAAACAAAAATTTTCTATTACTCAGACACTATTTTCAGCTATTTCTATATTCATGTCATCTATACAATTATATGGTCAATATTTTTCTTTAAATTGTCTTTAAATCAACTCAGCTTTTCAAACTGAATATTATCTTAGATGGTATTATCTTTGAAATCATAGGTTTTATGTGCTATTTTAAATATACATTATAATATATCCATAATCATTACATTTTTAAAAAGATTTATCACATTCCATCCAAAATCACCTCCAGGACTTTTCCAGGAAGAGACACCTATTTGCCTCTGTATAAATCACTCATCCTATAACTAAAGATCAGGAAACAGGCTCAAAGATGGGATGTGATTTGCTAAATAGTATCTTTCCCCCCAATTACTCTGTTATGGTTTGTATCTAGATGTCCCCCTAAAGCCTCATGTGGTCATAGGTGGGGCTTTTCAGAGGAGGATGGATCTAGAATGTGTGATGTTGGGATTAATAGCGTGTGATTACTAAATCAGCCCACTGATTGGTTTGGTACAGTTCTAGGTATGGATAATGAGAAGGTCCACCTTGGATGTGAGTGCTACCTGTCCTGGGGCATGTAGCCTGGAGAGAATATAAGGGACAGAAAGGGGACTGCAGTGGTGCTTGCTGATGCTTTGCTGCCTTCTGACTGCCCTGACATGACATGGACTGTTTTTCCTCTGCAGTGCCACTCTGACATGCCTCCTTATCTTGGAGCCAGACAACTTTGGACAGAAACCACTATAAACTGTGAGCCTAAATAAACCTTTTCTCTCTTTAACTTTGGGTGTTGGGTATTTTGCCTCAGCAATGAAAAAAGTAACAAGACATTCTATCATTTGTATTCCAGATTACAAATATATTAGGAAAAATCAATCTTCTCTAAATACTCCCCTTAATAGATAACCACTGTAATAACATAAAAGACTAATACAAAATGGAAAGTATTCTGAGAATAAAACCCCTTCTGGAAGTCCTAGGCTTCACAGTTTCTATTTAAGGAAAACAACTCCCCTCCAAAAATATTTTTAAACAATCACAGCTTATTAAGAAGAATATGAAGCTCTTAATTCTACTAATATCTTAAAAAGGAATGCAGAATTTCTAAGGTTTGATTTTTCTGATGATGGATAAATGAGCATCTAAAAGGCAGTGAAACAAAATTTTTAAGATCAACTAAAGTTGGCTGGGGATTTAGCTCAGTGGTGCTGCCGCCTGCCTTGCAAGCACAAGGTTTTGAGTTCGATCCCCAGTACCAATCAATCAATCAATCAATCAAACAAACAAACTAAAGTAACTTAACCAAATTAAATTTGTTTCAATGTGAAAAAAACTCAGGCCACAATTTTTAGAACTTGACTGCATGCAAAGCTGGCCATTTAATATATCAATAAGTCAAATCTTTCTGTACTATCCTGAAAACATTGACAAGACAGTATTACCAATCCCAATATAGAAACCAGGAAACAAAAGTAGGGACTTTTTGGGAGAATTGGGGTTTTTGAGGAAGAGTCTTATTTTATGTTCAAAGGTATATTTCTAATACCTAGCACAGTAAGTGTTATATAGCAGCTACCGAATAAATATTCTGAATGAAGGAAAAAATGAGAACAAATATTCAGTTAGGATTCAAAGTATACCATTTAGAGAATTACCTAGGAAATGATTTATACTATAAGAAAATACATTTAAGTTTCAAACATATAATGCTCTTTTAAAATTACCCTGACAATTTTTAATTCCAATTGTTAGTTTCAGATCTGAATCAGAAAAATAATTTTTAAATAATTCTTCATACCAGAGAAAGAGCTGCTTGAGTCTGATGTAGAAGTGGTTCTGGAAGGGAAGAGAGGTGAATACATTCGGGAATTTTAATAGTGCCTCCGTCCAAATCTGCTATGATTACATCTAACTGAAAGAGATATTAAAAATTAACCAGTAATTAATAAAACACATTGGTTGCTAAGCAATTAATTGGCCTGATTAATTCAAAATGAAGAATCAACTGCAGAAGAAACTCTTAGATGTCCATACTAATAAGAGTTTTGAGTCCATGGCTTCCCAGCTAGCTATCTTTTATGTCCCAGTTTCCTTTGAAATGGGATGTTTCATATGACTAAGTTCCTGCCAGTAGAAGAGAAGCGATGTGTGCATTTCCAACCCTTCAAGACAAGGGATATTATAAGGCTCTCCCATGTTCTCTTTCCTCTTTCTGCAAGCTGAAACTATGAACTGAAGCAGCCTTACCTTAAACATTTAGATGGTGACAACACCTGAAGAGATTTAAGGTTGAAAGACACTGCAACCTTAAATGATTTCATGAAACTACCTAGTCTGGCATAATGGAATATTTCTATAGACTGTCCTATAATTGTTCTATATAATTGTTAAGTTTTTTCTGAGCCATATTTTAGTTGCTTATTACAGTAATCTAGGCACATCTTAAATAGATTAGTATTTATTATAATAGTTAATAAGTGAAGCAATTAGTATTTAAAAAGCATACTGTTAGGTGCATTAAAACTTAATTTTTTAACCTTTTTACAAGAGTATACTTAAAAATAACAAAAATATGAAAGAAACTAACAAGATAAATTATTACACTGAAATGTGATTACACTTCATTCCCATTCATTACAAATTTAAGAAATTTGTATTTGGCAACACTCGATTTATCCTGTCCTCAATGACTATTTATATTTAATGGTAATAAAACTATCCACAAACATATGCGTGTGCTTCTATTTAATACTAATTAGTAGACTTTATGGAATGTTTGATTTCTACATATTTTTATATGGCAATGCCAAAGTTAAGTAGAAACCAGCTATCAACATGTAAAGTTAGGAAGAATATTATACAGAATTAAGATCCTATTATAATTAAGATGTTTAATAATCTGTTATAATCTGTTTAAATGATGCCTCTGATTTTATTACAACTGTAATTACTGTGTATTTATCAATAGAGCTTAATTCTTTGACAGCATCTGAAATACGAAAACAGAAGTAGAATTAGAATCTTTTTGGAACAGAATATCATGTAGCTGAATCTATTCAGTATAAAATTCTTCTTGAGGAGCCGGGGATTTAGCTCAGTAGTGCCAGTGCCTGCCTGGGAAGTACAAGGTCCTGAGTTTGATCCTAGTACAAAAAAAAAAAGAATTCTTCTTGTACTGCTTGAAAATCATCATGTAATCTGTTCTTTACAATCTATTTACAGTGCTTTTGAGTACATACCTCAACTCACATTAGAAAACCCATTCTAATAGTTGGCAGCATTTATACAGAACAGAAATCTGTTTCTATACTCATTTTACCCACTCATGCTATTTCATCCTTTTTCTCCCTATGACATCTACTTAAATATTTATCTTTAGCTATCAAATAATATCTGATTATTATTATTTTTGTTTGGTTTGGTTTCATTTGGTACTGCGGATAGAATTCGGGTCCTTGCACTTGCAAGGCAGGCAGCAGAACCACTGAGCTAAATCCCCAGCCCATAATATCGAATTATTACCTGAGAAAATTTCCCTAGGGCATTACAGAACATAATTTTTGAACTCTTGACAACCCTGAATGACCTCTAAAGTGCTTTGTTGTTAAAGTCTCTCTTAAACTATGATACTCAGAACCAAACACATTATTCCAGACCTAGCTTTCCCTTCTCTAATATTTCTATTCATATGAAATTAAGAATAAAAAATCTGGTGGGAGCTTGTATCAAACTTGTGTTCCATCTTCTTCAGATACTTTTTGCTTTGTTAGTTATTAGCCATTTAGTCTTAAGACATGCCTCACTTACAAATACAAACCCACTAAGCACTGATAAGTACAAATAAAATATTTCATTAATGGATTATTCACCTTATTATGTCCTATACAGAATAAAGAATACAGAAAATAAGCTTACTGTGTTAAAAGGGATATTTTAAATATTTTTAACCTCTCATATTTGCTATAAAGCAAAATGTATTTAGACTTTTCAATGATGTTTTCCTTCCAGTCAACCTTTGCCATTAGAAATTCAAAAGATATGAATGAAAATGGTAATTAGTTGAAATATTATAGTACTCAAGAAATACAAAAAACATTCTAGTATCAGTAACTGAAAATTTTAAAGATGAATACTTACAAGTTCATGGACATCAGTTTTAAAGATGGAATGTACTCCAATAATGAAAGGTGTTGGAGAACTTAGAACTTCTAGTAGCTGAGCTGGGAGAATGGGAATATAAGGATAGCTGGAAATAATAAAAATATGTCATATATATTTGTTTTTCCTCAATATAAACTCTCATTTTATGCTGTTTTAAAGATTATGTTTAGATGTTATTAGCAATAATATTGCTAAGCTTATTAATATTCAAATTTTGAAAAGAACAATTAAAATTTTTTTCATGTTCAAGATATAATCAAACATAACAAGCATCAAAAAATAGAACTCAGGTGAGCTTCCTTATCTCTTCTTCCCTTAAGTAAGCATTCTCTTTAGGTCTTTTAATATAGTTTGAGAGCATTTTTCCTTAAGTACAAACTTGAAATCAGAAATCAACACTGATGGGGCTGAGCGTGGTGGCACATGCCTGTAATCCCAGCACTCAGGAGGCTGAGGCAGGAGGATTGCTGTGAGTTTGAGACCAGCCTGAGCTACACAGTGAGTTCCACGTCAGTCTCAAATACATAGTGAGACCCTGTCTCAAAATCCACCCCCCAAAAAAAGAAAAGAAATGAACACTGATGGAGTCTTCTTTCTCAAGAGTAAGCAATGATTTGTCTATAAAATATAATTATTTAAATATCTTTTTTTTTTTTGAGATAAGAGTCTCACTATGTAGTTTAGGCTGGCTTTGAACTCACTAGATAGCCCCCAGGCTGGCCTCCAACTGCCTCATACTTCTGGGTGCCAGTACAGGGGTGTGCCACACTTGGTTCCATTTTTTTAATGGTAATTGATGTGCATGCATTCAATAGGAATGGCAAAAAATAAAGCCAAGAACATTCAATTTTATCTAAAAGATTAAAAATTTTAATAAGAAATTCTACAGGTAATCATATTTTATTAGTTTACATGAAATTAAATTTCCTATATGTTACTGTTCTCAAATTGATTAAGCAGTGTATTAGACCAAAATATTCTTATTACTATCACACATCATTTAGATTTTTTTTTGGTACCGGGGATTGATCTCGGGTCCTTGTGCTTCTGAGAGAGGTGGCAGAACCACTTAGCTAAATCCCCAGACCTAATTTTTTTGGCTTTTACTATTTATTATAAGACAAAATTTTTCAAAAGAAAAAAGGAAAAAACTTATAATGAAACCCCATGTATCCAATTCAGTTTTGACAATTATCAATGCATAATTACATATATATTTCTAGCCAATTCTGTTCTTTTATTTTGAACCACTGATATTATATCATTTATACATAAATACTTTAGTAGATATCTAAATAAGTCTTTTAAATTTATTTATTTACTTGAGACAGGGTCTCACTATGTAGTTCAGACTGCCCTGGAACTCACTATGTAGCCCAGGCTGGTCTCAAACTCACAGCAATCCTCCTACCTCAGCCTCTTGCGTGCTGGGATTATAGGTATGTGCCACCACACCAAGCAATAAGTCTTTTTTATTAATAGAACTGTAATATCCCTATAACTCCTAAAAATCCTTTAATATAAAAGCATTAAAGATTTTTATTGCTAACTGCATTCAAAGAGAATTAAATGTTGCTGACAATACTATTCAGATTAAATTAAATTATTTTCACTAAATTAATCAACACTCCATAAATTAACAGCTTGGAAAAGTCTCAAAATCTAGTCAAGATTTTATTAGAATCACAATTTTTATAGTGACATAACTTTGAAAACTATGTGGTTCAAAAATCACTATACCATGATATTTTGACTTATCAGTAACTAATGAATATTTAGGGAATGAATAAATTACCAAGCAACAACCTCACCTATATTTAAGAGGAAACATTAAAGATTCCAGGGCTCTACAGGCATCACTAAGTCTCTGGAAACTTGCAGAATGGAAGAGAACCTTATTTTCTGTAAGGACTGCACAAAAGAGGCTGAGGACATTCTGAATTCCTGTAAACAAAAGAGGAAAGGTGGACCAAATGTATTTAATTGTATTTGTGCTGCCAACAATCATACACTTAGAATGACATATAAAGAAAAAGCCAGTACTGGGGAAAATATTTGGCTAAACTATAATCCTCCATAACCTATGGGTATCCATTTTCCCAAAGTTTCAGTTTTGCATTCATTTTTCAAGTTAGTATAACACTCATAGAACATATTTGTTGCTTGGAAATAAGTAATTACCTTCTTTTCAACTACACTCTAAAGTCTGTACTTAAGTTCTGTTCTAGATGATGGCACTCTTCTTCTATTTGATGCTCATAATGATGTTTCTGTCAATTATGAACTGCATAGACAACAGTAGACCCAAAAGATTATAACGAAGGCCGTAGCTGTCCTAACACTGTTGTGCAATGCCTTACATAGTTGTGATGATGCTGGCATAAACAAATCTACTAGGCTGTCAGTTGAATAAAAGCATAGTAAACACGATTGTATACAACACTTGATATTGACTGTATATGACTGGCTTGTGTATAATACTATACTTATTTTAGAGTGACTCCTAATATATACATACATAAGACACTCATTTGTGACAAGAATACTATGTAATATTTTGGCTTTATAATGCATCACATAAAAATTGTACAATGTTAGGTTTACTTTAATAATGCTATTTAATCATGTGTTCTGATTTGAGGCTTTTTATTGTATTTACATCATGGTTAGTTCATTATATTTTTCTTTAAAAATATCCTTCTAAGGTGAAAGACAAGTTGTCACATCTGGCTCCCCCTACAACCAAAAAAGAGGCTCAACACCTAGTGGGCCTATTTGAATTTTGGAGGCAACACATTCCTCGCTTAGGTGATTTACTCTGGCCCATTTGCCAAGTAATGCAGAAAGCAGTTTTGAGAGGGGCCAAGTATATATATTATGCTGTAACAACCTTGAACACGCTTTATTTACTGTGTCTTTTGATTGCATCATTTTCTCTTACGTTTGATTTAATCTCATGTTGCTTGGTACATCATAGCCCTAAGTGCAACAGGATATTCATCTTTCTTTCTCCACTATATAGTACAGGTATGAAGTGGGCTGTATCGTCATTTCATGTTTCTGTAAATGTGTATATTTGATGATGCTTGCACTGTGATGAATTGCTTAACAAAGCATTTTTCAAAATATATTCTGTTCTTAGGTGACACATGATGATGATATAACCACACCAACTGTGCTGTTTTGGCAATTTGCCTGATATATCTCTATTTTTTTACTTCATCCTTTCTCCGCTTCTTGTAAAAAATTTGTTTTGTGGTACTGGGGATAGAACCCAAGATGTCACACATGCTAGATAAGTGTTCTACCACTGAGCAACATTCCCAGCTCTAATATACCTTTTAAAATCTAGTTTGATAGGATTGGTCGTTTAATTAGATAATTTAACTGAATAATATTATATACCTACACGGTAAAGATACTACTTATAATATATAGTATCTTATTTTATAGGTTCTGCTTTTTATTATTAAAATTTCTTTTGCTTCTTTTATCCTTTCTGCTCACATAAAATTTAAAAGCTCTTATTAAATTCTATTGATAAAAAATTCTGTTCTGATAGTACCTATTCTTAGTGACAACTGTAAAAGATACACCATGCATACCTAGCAAACTGAAGTTAAATAAATACATCATTTCTTACTTTCTCCTTTTTATTACTGACCCAAATCATCTTTTGTTCTGTCACTTCAGCTTTAATCACAAAGACCCACTAAATCAAGAACCCCTTTTGTTTTCTCAAGGTACAATATTTCGTGTATCTCTTTGCCATAGCTCATCTACTCATGTGACACATGCAAATTTCTTCTAAGTCCATTATTAATAGCTATTCCTTTTTATCATGCTAACTTTATCCCATGAAATACACTAGAACCTACACTTCAAATTTTTAATCTTCTTTCATTTAGACAAATATAACAGTTTCATATCTACTCTTCCCAATTCAGTCCTTATTCCCTTCAAATCAATCCTCCAGTTTTCTTGAATGGCAGACAAAGAGAAAAAATCTTATTATGTCACTCTCACTCCTCAAACTCCTCTATATCTTCCAATTCCCTTGGGCAACAATTCTCACATGAATTGTGTTCCACAGAAAAAACTTAGCAAGGGAAGCTTTTGCTTTAACTTGTTTAGCTATTAATCTCTCTGAGCTTTGTTTGGTAAAATGAAATGAAAAAAGTCCCGAAGGCCTATTTTAGAAGGTTGCTATGAAGACAAAATGAGGTATGCTATGATTTCTCAGCATAATATGATAGTAAAATAAAAACATTAAGTAATATTATGATTATTATTGTAATTATTGTAGTTGTTACCATTAATTTCCTTTGAAGTTAGGGCTCTGATGCTCAAAATGTTTGAAAACATGTAAAAAGTTAAGTCTATACTCTACCAAAATATCTCCAATGATCTTAACCAGATCTTTATAACCATATCACATGATTAATATGGAACTTATCTACTATAGCTCTCAAACTTTTTTTACTATCACTGTTTCTGTTGTCCATGTTCTCTCTGCTTGATGATCCCTTCAATAAAATGTTAGATCCTCAAAGACTACACCAGGCCTTATGCACTACTAAACCCTTCTGCCATGTACAGCATCTAGTAATCAGTTGACACTCAAGAATGTTACACTGGAACTGGCAAGCTGTCTGAATAGTAGTGCAGTGAGTTACTATCAAAAGACTAAATTTTTCATTAAAAGTGTCAGGTCCCACATATAAATGAGATCATGCCATATTAGTTTTTCTGTTTGGCTTATTTTATTTAATTTAGTATCCTTCAAGTTAAACCATGACAACAAATAACAGGATATTTTTTTATGCCAGGTGACACACAAATAGAAAGCTGTTGATTAAGGGGCACAAAGTTCCAGTTAGGAAAAGTACATTTTTTAGTTTTGCTGTAATGTGATTATAGTCAATAAAATGTACTGTGTATTTCAAAACAGATGAAATTAAACTTCAAAAGTCTCACCACAAAAAATGGGAAGTGAGGCAGTAGATAAGTTAGTTTCATTTAAGTATTCCATATTTTATACATGTAAATGTGTGTAGATATGTAGATTTTGTTAAAGATTTTGTTCCATCTGCTTCAACGTTTTTTACCCACATGCTAGACGACATATACACACAATATTTTTCTGAGCCATGTGAGGGTATAGGTTGTGTATTTATCTTCACATTTACCTCTAGTTGTTTATTTGACTAAGAATAAAGATATTCTCTTATATACCCACAGTAGAGTTAACAACTTCAGCAATTTTTAACACCAATACAATACTTAAAATTTAATGTACAGTAGTTCAATTTTGTAGGCTGACACAAATAATATTCCTTAAGAGCCTTTTCCTCCGCTCAGGATTCATTCTAATATCAGATATTCCACTTAGTTTTCAGATTTCCTTAGTCTTGCTCAATATGAAGCATTTTCATGGCTTTTCTTTTTTTAAAAAAACTGAAGTGATATTCATATAGCATAGAATTAATTATTTTAAGGTGAAAATTCAGTGACACAATATAATCATGATATTGTAAAATTATCTCTCTCAAGTTCCAAAATATTTTCATCACTGCAGAAAGAAAACCTACATCCAATTAGCAAATGCTCTTTATTCCCTTCACACACTGTTCCTAATAATCACCAATCTGTATTCTCTCTATATATAGATTTACTTCTTTTGGAAATTTCATATAAATGGAATCATACAGTATGAGACCTTTGTGTTTGGTGGGTTTTTTTTTGCTTGTTTGTTTGTTTTTTTGTACCAGGGATCGAACTCAGGTCCCTGCACTGTGAGGTAGGCAGCGGAACCATTCAGCTAAATCCCCAGCCTTTGGTGGGTTTTTTTTTTTCAAATACTATAACATTTATCAGCACATCATTCTTTTTTATGGCTGCAAAGTTTTCTATTGTGTGCATACACACTATACTCTTATGTGCGAAAAAGTATATACATGCTCAGGAAAAGAAAAACAGCATGATGTTTTGCAACAAATAGCATTACCCTTATACAGAGGGCCCTACAGGGTGTCTTACTGTTGTAGAAATAGGTAGTCCAGGCTGCTCTGGAACTTCCTATGTAGCCCAGGCTAGTCTTGAACTCTTGATTCTCCTACTTCAGCTTCCCAAGTGCTGGAATCACAGGTGTGTACCACTGCACCCAGCTACATGTTCTTGTTTGAGTACCTGCTTTCAATTTGGATATATGCCTAAGAGTGGCAAGGTTACATGGTAGTTCAATATTTAATCTTCAATGTACTGTTTTATACAGCAGTCAAATTACTTTTATTACCAGAAATGTATAAGGGTTTCAATTTCTCCACATTCTCAGTAACACAGTTGTTTTCCTTGCTTATTTTTAACAATACTTATCCTGGGTTTTATATTGTTTGAAGCGCTGGGTACTAAACCCCAGAACTTAGTGCTTTTGCTCTATCACTGAACTACATCCCCAGCTCCTTCACTGTTTTTTTGTGTGTGGTGGGTACCAGGGATCAAACTCTGTCTTTGCGCTTGCAAGGCAGGCGCCAGAACCACTGAGCTAAATCCCCAGCCCCTTCATGGTAGTTTTGATTTGCATTTTCCTAAAGACTAATGATCTTGAGCATCTTTTCACACAATTAATTATTAGGCATTTGTATATCTTCTTTGAAAAATGAATTTTTAAGACAATTTACCCAATTTTTAATAGTTATCTGTACCTCTGTTGTTGAATAAAGATTTTTTTGCATATTCTGCTCACTAGGTCTTTTTCAGATCTGATTTACAAATATTGTGCCCACTTCACAAATTATTTTTTACTTTCCTTATAATATTCTGTGATGTACAAAAGCTTTCAATTTCAATGAGGTATAGTATATCCTCTTGTTCATGCTGTTTGTGTCATATCTAACAATAAACTGTAAATCCAAGACCATGAAAATTTACCTGCCTCTTTTTTC